GGATTCTTAATCACACACACACACACACACACACACACACACACACACACACACACACACACACCATATCAGGATTCTTAATTCTGTTCATTGATTTGCCCTCCCATTATTATTATTTTTTTAATTTACTTACTTATTTATTTTGATTTTTTTTTTCAAGACATGGTTTCGGTACATAACCCTGGCCATATTGGAACTCACTTTGTAGACCAGGCTGGTCTCGAACTCGGAGATCTGCCAGCCAGCTGCATTTCCATTTTCATGCCAGCTTCTCCAGCTTGATTACAATAGTCCTGTTTTATGTTGAGATCAAGCATGGAGAATTCAAATTGGTTTCCATTTTCAAGATTATCATGGCTATCCTGGGTTCCTTTTATTTCTATATGCCTTAAGATCAGCTTGCCAGTTGTGAAAAACATAAAGCAAACAAAAAACATAGTGTCTTAGTTAGGGTTTTTATTGCGCTGAAGAGACACCATGACCACAGCAACCCTTATAAAGGAAACATTTAATTGGGGTGATTCACAGTTTCAGAGGTTCAGTCCATTATCATCATGGTAGGGAGCATGGCAGACAGGGTACTGGGGAGGTGGCTGAGAGTCTTATATCATGCAGGCAACAGGAAAGAGACTATGACACGAAGTGAAACTTAAGGAAAAGACTGCAAAGCCCGCCTCCACAGTGACACACTTCCTCCAGTAAGACCACACCTCCGCCAACAAAGCCACACCTCCTAAGAGTGCCACTCCCTTTGGGGGCCATTCTCTTTCAAACCACCACACATAGCTACGATGTTTTGATTGTTTTTTAGGGACAGCTTCTCACTATGTAACTCTGGCTGTCTTGGAACTCATTCTGTAGACCAGGCTGGCTTGAACTCACAGGGATCCACCCGCTTCTGCCTCCCAAGCGTGGGGATTAAAGGCGTGGGCCACTACGCCCGGCCATAAACTGTGATTTTTTTTTTTAAAAGTTGCTGTTTATGTAGAGTGTTTTTTCTCCATGTTTGTCTGTGTACCATGTGTGTGCCTGGTGCCCTCAGAGATCCGAAGAGCGCATTGGATCACCTGGAACAAGAGTTAAAGATGGTTGTGAGTTACTTACTATATAGGTGTTGGGGACCCAACCAGAGTCCTCTCTACAAGAGCAACAAGTGCTCTGGACTGCTGAGCCGTTCCCCCCCCCCCCCCCCCGCCTTATAGCTATGATTTAACAGGGATTACACTGAATTTATAGTTTCATTCGGAAAGTATTAACATTTATGATATTGCCTTCTAATTTACAGACATAGAATGCCTTTTGTTCCAGCATATCCTCTAGGACAACAGGCCCAGTGTTTGAGATCCAGCTCTGAGCTGCCACAAGACTGAAAAACAGAGGCAGCCAGGGCTAAGACTGGACCAAGTAACTTATTTGGGTGTAGACGAATTTCTAAGCAGTCTTATTAAATAAAGAACACGGAGCCAAATATAGGGGTGAAAGCCTTACAGATCAGAGAAATAGTGAGAGCCACCAACCACCTTACCTCACAAGCTCTGTAGCTTCCAAAGATGAGCTACTTCCTGTCTAACCTGCTCCTTTATTGCCTTGCTTTTCTGCCCTCTCATTGGCTCTCAGCCCAGCTACCTCACTTCCTTGTCACTGCCTGTCTGTACAGACCTCCAGGTCTCTATGGTTGGTACTGGGATTAAAGGTGTGTGTCACCACATTTGGCTGTCCCCTAGTATGACCTTGAACACACAAAGACCCTGTCTGCCAAGTGATCAGACTAAGGGCGTGTGCTACCACCGCCTGACTATTTTGTTAATGGCTTGCTATTTGCTCTGATCTCCAGGCAAACTTTATTCATTAACATACAAATAAAATATCTCCATATTTCAGCACAAATAAAATATCAGCACATTCAGGACTGGCAAAAGTGTGTCCCCGGCACTACAAAACCATTACATCTGTGCAATTTGAGACAGACAGGCCTATTTATGGGTCTGCACAAGTGATTTTTGCCTTCACTGGGTTGTATTTGATTTATCTTAAAATAAGGCACATCTGCACATGTCTACTTGTAAAGTGCCACACACCATTCTGACAATTTTGACTGTTTCTACTTTTCTGGGATGTGGGCAGAGTTTTCCTGTCCCACAGTCGCTCTCAAATAAACACACTGAGGTTTATATTAATTAGAAATGCTCGGCCAATAGCTCAGGCTTATTACTAACTAGCTCTTACATTTGAAGTTAGCCCATAATCCTTATTTACGCTCTACCAGGTGGTGCCTTTATTAGCATGGCACATTCATCTCCTGCTCCCTCTGCCTCTGGCTGATGACTCTAAACTCCACCCTTCCTCATCCCATCTTTCTCAGTTTGGCTTTCCCACCTAACTTTATCCTGTTCAGCTATTGGCCAGTCAGCTTGTTTATTAAACCAAGCATAGTGACATATATTCACACAGTGTACAAAAAGAAGGATTCTTCCACAACACTGGGAAGTTGAGCAGGGAAAACCAAACATCATTTTAGGGCAAATGTGTCAACTATGACCAGTCATAGTTGACACATATGCCACAATGATGTCACACAACATCCACATACCTCGTTCTTCTTTAATATCTAAGTGACACTTTGTTTTACTGTACAGATCTTATTCCTCCTTTGTCACATGAACCCTAGAGAATTTTCCATGTGCATTTGAGAAGATTATGCATCCTGCTCTTGTTGAGTGTGGACCTGATGCTGTGAATCGTTTCCTCTCTCTCCATCATTTCCCTAGACTTGTGATAGTGACTGAAACCAGGACACTGCAGCTTTCCACAAGCATTGCTAATTTGTCTAGTTCTTGCTTCGGTACTGTTACCTTTTTATTATTTTATAATTTTTGATTGCAGTGTGTGTGTGTGTGTGTGTGTGTGTGTGTGTGTGTGTGTGTATGTGTGTGGTGTGTTGGGGGACTTGTGTGGAGGTCAGGGACAATCTGTAGTCCATCCTCTGCTTCCACATGTGGCTTTGGATGCACTTTGGTCAGGCTGGCAGTAAATACCGCTATCCATTGAAGCGTCTCCCTGGCCCCTTTATTCTTTATTAAGTGCTGAGAATCCAACCCAAGGTCTGACACATGGGAGGCAGGTGTTCTACCACTAAGCTACATGGCCATCTTCTTTTAGCTTTCATTTCGTGTACACACACAGGCATGCATGCATAAACACACACACACACACACATGCACACACACACATATACACATACACACACACATATGTTTACCTGACATACTGAGCCATTTATCACCATACTATGTCCTTTTTTTGCATCTAGCAACATTTATTATCTTCAGATTTAGTTTGCCTGTTATTATCATAGTCAATTCAGCTCTGTTCTGGGTAAGGCTTAAATGCACAACCTTTTCCTTTCAACCTATGTATTTAACAGCTGAAGTCTATCTCTAAGCATACAGTTAGAAGTTTTGGTGGGGGTGCTGGGCGTTAAGCCTGGGGCCTTGTACTTACTAGGCATATATTTTACCACAGAGCTACACCACACCCCAGCCAGTCAAGTCATTTCAGTTGCGCCAGGTGTGAAGGCACAGGCCTTTAATCCAGCACTCAGGAGGCAGAGGCAGGCAGATCTCTGTGAGTTCCAGGCCAGCCTGGGCTACAGAGTGAGTTCTAGACCAGCAAAGGCTACACCATGAGACCCTGTGTCGATAAAAAAGAAAGAGAAAAAAGTATCATCCCGTTTTGCCTTTGACACTGGACTGTTCTGTCGGCTTACAATTAGTACAGGATTTGTGTGGATTTGTGTCTGCAGTTTTCCCGGGTATTTTCTGTCTTATGTCTCATTTCTCCATTGTTGCTTCCTTTTGTTCTAAATAATTTCCTCACATACTATCTAATCACTGTTATTTCCTTTTTCATTTTTATTTATTTATTTACTTACTTACTTATTTTATTGTTTTTTTTTTTTTTCAAGACAGGGTTTCTCTGTGTAGCTTTGGAGCCTGTCCTGGATCTCACTCTGTAGACCAGGCTGGCCTTGAACTCACAGAGATCTGCCTGCCTCTGCCTCCTGAGTGCTGGAATTAAAGGCGTGCGCCACCACCACCTGGCTACAACTCTGCATTTTGATTGGGTTTGGTCTTCTGTATTTGTCTCCATCTGTTGCAAAGAGAAGACTCCTTGATGAGGTATTCACTTAACACCCTAATTTAAAAATAACCCAGGGGGTTTGGTGTGGTGGCGCAGGCCTTTAATCTCAGCACTTGGGAAGAGGCAGGCAGATCTGTGAGTTCAAGGCCAGCCTGGTCTATAGATCGAGTTCAAGGACAGTCAGGGCTACACAGAGAAACCCTGTCTCAAGAACAAAAACAAAAACCAGGCAAACTTCGACAACAATTCAGGGGTGCTGGGGTAACTCAGTGGTTAGGTGTTGCACAAATTCCTAAAGGTCTTATAATAAATACCCGGAGCCAGACATTGGGGCAAATACTGAAAGATCAGAGAGACAAAGGAACAAGCCGCTAGAGAAACTTCTCACCACTACGGAATCCTCGGGCCGAATGGAAGGCGAGATCCTATCTCCATGAATCCTCTGACTGAAAGCCTCTGAGTCCTCAGAGGAAAAGTCTCTCTTTCCTGTCTCCTCACACCTTCTATACCTTTCTCCACCCATTTCACTTCATTCCTAGTCCTGGGATTAAGGTCATGTGACTTCCCAAATACTAGTAGCAAAGGCTTGAGATCTCAAAAACTGGGATTAAAGATGTGTGCCACCACTGCCTGGCTCTGTTTCTCTCCTAAACTGAATCAATCTCATGTATTCCAGGGTGGCTTTGAACTCACAGAGATCCAGACAGCTCTCTGGCTCCGAGTGCTAGGGTTAAAGGTGTGTGCCACCACTGCCTGGCCTCTATGTTTAATCTAGTGGCTGGCTCTGTCCTCTGATCCTCAGGCAAGCTTTATTTGATACACAATATATCACCCCAGTAAAGCATTTATGTGCCTAACATCTCTGAGGCTCTGGGTTCAATCCCCAGAATGCAAAAGGAACAAACAAAAGCCCTAATCAAATTAAAACCAATTTAATTTTAGCAGGATGATTGTTTTATGCAGCTGTCTCTTACATGATAAGAAGAAAAGAGTTACAAATATTACATTTATATTCACCTTTACATTTATGGATTAGCCTTTACTCTGTACATCATAAATTTAATATAAAATAAAGTTTCTCAAATATTGAAATTATATCTGCTTTACTTCAGATACTTTTCCATTTTCAGGAGTTTTTAATACAGTAATTATCTAAAGCCAAGTGGCTTAGTGGACGGACTAATGGGTTTTTATCAGAAGCCTGAGAATCCACTAATGGCTTTTAGCCCAAAGACTGACTTTGTAATCCGGATTAAACCCTGGAGTTGCTGTCTGGGCTTCAACCTCCTTGCCTCACTAGTGGAGAGAATGCATCTGACAGTGATTGATGGCTGACTTCATCTGTCACTTCCCCAGGCTCACCACAGGCTGGAGAGGCTTTTGTAATGCTAGTCTTAATAAGATCATGTCCTGAAAGAAGGTCAAAAGCTTTATAATATTGTCAACTCATAACCCAACAACAAAGATAAAAATAATTATGATTAAAAAAAAAAAAAAAAACCTGAAAGCTACTTCAGGAGATCCAGTACTGTTTGCAATACACTATAATAATAATAATAAAATCCTTCATTTTCAAATTGCTTTCTGGGTACATTTCTATTAAAAAAATGCAACTCGAAGAAATCTCTAATTGCTCAACAGTGTAATAAATAACCAGTCCTAGGTGGATTCATTTTAAAATACAGTCAGTTTTTGCACAGGGTTGAGACTGGATGATTCTCCAAAACAGATGTGGTATGTTGTCTTAATCCCCATTTCACTGGGTCTAAAGTTGACTTTTCCTATCAGGTTTTAGATTTGGGGAGATAAGTCCTGGTGATGCAGCCCAGGACAGTCCTGAACTCTCAATGCTCCTACATCAGCTTCTTGAGCGATTTTTAATGGGTCAGACACTGACTTTTAAGGGCTAGGACCAATATCATCCAGCGCCTGTAACCCAGTGACCTGGAGATCTATTTCAGGACTAGCAGTGGAATTAGTGGTAGAGCACTTACCCTCACCTAGTGCTCAAAGACTTGGCTCTGATCCCCAGGACTGAAAAACACATCTCTTGTGTGCTGGAATGAGGTGCCTGCCTCGTCATCCCAGCGGGCAGACGGCTCAGACAGAAGGATACTACAAAGCAAGTTCAAGGCCAGCCTGGGCTGCAGGGAGGTTCTACAAAGCATAGAAAGGGGAAGGAGGGTGGAAGAAAAGAACAGGGTGTGGGAGAGGGAAGAGGGACACTTAGAATACTAGAGGGGACACTATTTACACTCTACAAGTCGGTGGCTCATTATTCAGATGAACTTCATTTTGAGGACTCCATCTTGAAGGCAGGAGCCATTATGCTGTCGTCTTAAAAATAAGTTTGTCTTTTCTGTGAGAGTTGAATAGCTTTGTTTCCTGGAACCTGACCTTCCCCATGACCTTGTTTTGTTTTTGAGAACACCCTCACCCTGACCCTCCCTGACCTCTCCTAATCACATGGTGATCACCTGGTGTTTCTTAAAAGTTTTTTTTTTTTTTTTCCTTTGTATTTCCTTATTGCCCGCCCAGGCGGATCTTTGTGAGTTCAAGGCCAGCCTGGTCTACAGAGCGAGTTCCAGGACAGTCAGGACTGTTACACAAAGAAACGCTGTCTAAAAAAAAAAAGACCAAACTCATGCACTCATATTCCCACAGAAGACTCTAAGATCTGAGTAAGACATGTTTATTCAGAAAGAAATCACTGGAATCCCCCCTCCCCTAACCTGTGTGAAATCGGGGTTTGGGGGGTTTTTGTTTGTTTGTTTTCAGAGGCAGCTTTCAGTGTCGGGACACAAAGGCCAGAATCTTCTTTTCACAGCGGTGTCTTCGATACAACCTAATCTGCAACACCGATTAAATTACAGAAGACTCCCGCACTAGGACAGTTGCCTTTCCCCCATTGCCCTGTCTTGCGGGGGTGGGAGAAGATCTGCTCCAACCGGAGATTTGTGGTGTGTAAACAGAAACCTATTAGGGGGGCTGGCTAGTTGGTTCTAGCTCTTAAATTCCGATTCACAAAACGAGCTTCTCCGCGGCGGCGATCTATCAGCCCGGCTCTTCCTCTCCTCCTCCAAGCAGGGCAGAGAGCGTGTCTGGAGCCTCCTCGGAGGTGCTCCCCTTCCTCCTCCGCCCTCCCCAGCCTTACACAGCCCTCAGCCGCAGGACGGCAAGTCCAGTCTTTCTGGAGGACGGGGTGCTGTGCCGGGCGCTGGCTGCCGGCCCCGGGGGTGACTGGCGTCCGATGCGGACCTGGCCTTCCTCGTTGATCGCGGGCAGTCAACACGTTGTGCAACCTGCCAGGCGGAGCAGCGGGCGGGCACTGTGGGAAAGGTTGCTCGGGCTGCAGCCCCAGCTCTGGATTACTCAGCTCTTCCCAGGGCTGTGTGTGACCGAGATACGGGAGGTCACCGGTGATGGAGAGGCCAGCTGGCCAATGAGGAGCCAGGGGGAGGAGGGGCAGCAGTCCTTGGCAAAGACTGCGGCGCAGGGCAGAACATCTGAGGGAAAGTTGTTTGGTGACCTTTATTGTTTCCACGAAAACTTTCTCCTGCACGGAACGTCAGCAGTCAGCGTAATGTCTGGCCATGTTGGTTTATTGGGAACGAAAGCGTGCTTTCCGGAAAAGCCAATTTTCTTGCTTGCTTGCTTTCTTGAGACAAGATCTCATGTAGCCCGGGGTGGAGCCATTGTGTACCTGAGAGCTAAGAATGACCCTGAACACGGGATCTTACCTCCACCTCCATTACTGCCATGTTCTCACATACCCGGATAACAGTCCATTTTCTTTTGGTAATAAAATGTTTTTAATTATTAAAAACAACACCATCAAGCCAGGTGTGGTGTTGCATCCCAACACTGTGGAACTGAGACAGGAGGCCTGTGAATTTGAAGCCAGCCTGGGCTACACAGTAAAACCGTAAAAGACAAAAACAAATACCCAAACAAAACAGCAGCAGCAGAAAGTTTCTGTACTGTAGAAAATTAGAAAAATAAAACAGGAGGAAACAAACCCATTGAGCTATAGTTGAGGTCACCATTTTTGGTCACATGATTTTAGTAACTGTGGAACCAAAATAAGACCAAAATGTTCTCACCCCAAAACTAAAGGCCTAAGACTGCTCCTTTTAGCTATAGGCCATAAGTTATTGGAATAGGCCAGAAGTTACTGAGACCAGTCAGTTCAGATTCCAGAAACCAGGAAGTGTAAAAGTACAGAGCCACAAGATAGTCACGAGGTAATGCCTGCCAGACTATGGAATGTCCTCTCCCTTGTTTCCAGGGTAACTGATCACAGAAATGCCTCCACCTGAGGGCAGCCAATGAGAAATGGTGGC